CTGTCCTCACTTCTTCCCTAACCTTAGCTTTCCTTCCCTTGTTTCTTCCTCCTCCATCCTCCTCTCCGCTTATCTCGTCGTCATGATCCTGTAATAGAATTAGGTGTCCCATGGATACAGACTCCCACACAACGGGCCGAACAAAAACACACGCTGTCCAGACCTCAGCCGAGGCAACAAGCGAGGCTCCAGGTGTCTGTTAGGATGGATTATATCTGTTAGCTTGCATGTAGGAGCAGACATGCACACAAACAAGTTCACGTTTCCTCAAAACACACAGGTTTGTTGGTTTTGGTGCATTTAGGAGCAGATGAGATTAGGGACTGGGACGTGCAGTCGCTTCAGGATAACAGTTATGGTGGGTATCTGTTCACTGACGGGAGCTCTGACGCTGCAGCTCGTTGCTGTAGTAGCTTTTATGATTTCAACTCTTAACTCCATTGCAGATAAAATTCATACAAGCTTGGCTGACACTTCTCAACCTCATAAACAGTTTAATTGTATTTGCTTGGATTTATCCATCCATTCATTTTATTTACCCACTTTTTCCTCTAGTTTTATTTAAAAATGAACCCACTGGTGGACCAGACTGATCCGTGGGCCTGGTTTACACATGGCACTGATTCAGGTCTTTGAACCAGGTGTGCTGAAGCAGGGAAACACGCAAAACATTAAATATTACTTTGTATTATTATTAAAATTATAAATTATTTACACTTTATTTAAATGATATTTTACAGTATCCAGTATTTTGAAATTTGTCATGTTTGCTGATGATACAAACTTTTTTTTCCTGGAAAGAATATGGATGAATTAATACAAATAGTAGAAAAAGAGCTAGCTGAGTTAAAAAAAAAAGTGGTTTGATTATAATAAGTTATCTTTAAATGAAAAAAAAAAACTATATTTATGGTATGTTCCGGTAATAGGATTTATAATAATGTAAAGTTACATATAAATGGAGTTGAAATCAACAGTTCATGAGACTTTTTTTTTCTTCTGGACAACAAACTTAGTTGGAAGCCTCATATTGAATATATTAAAAATAAAATTGCAAAAACTATTGGAATAATGTTTAAAATAAAATATTTAATAAATGTAAAAGGCTTGCATATTATATACTCTTCCTTGGTTATGTCCTACTTGTCATATTGCTCAGAAATATGGGGAAATGCAAATAAAACAACTATTGACATATTAATAAAGTTACAACAAAAAGCAATTAGACTTATTAATAGAGTGTGATATTGTGAACCAACTAATAAATTATTTATTCAAAGCAATACTTTAAAATTTAATGACATTGTTTATATAAAAACTGGAAATAATGTATAAAGTACTGAATAAAAGTCTTCCTTCTGGAATTCAGAAATTATTTAAGTTAAGAGAGAGTAAATATAATTTACGAGGTTTGTGAATATTTGAACAAGCTAAAGAGAAAAGTAAAGTAAAATCTAGATGTATTTCAGTTATTGGTGTGAAACTGTGGAATGAATTGAATTATGATTTCAAATTATATGTTTTTTTTTGGAGGGTGAGCTTTAAAAGAGCTTTAAAATGTAAAACTATAAAAGCTTATGGAGATGTTATGTAGATGTATATATGTATTGTGTAAACATGTATGTATGTAATATGAGTATATGTCTGTATTATATACATGCATATTTAAATATTTAAATATACGGTAAATGTCTGTATGTATATATGTGGACAGTAGATATCTGTCATGTAAACTGAGTCTATGAACAGAGTAGGAAAGAATAAGCTTTGGCTTCAGCCTATTCCTTTTTTGGTAAATACTCGATTTATCATTTTATATTGTTTTCCTTTTTTTTGTAATGTTTTTAATTTACCAAAATAAAGTTGAGTTGAGTAGAACATGCAGTGGACCACGAGGAACAGCTCAAATAACCAAGCCAAGTATGCAGAACATCATCTCTGTAACTACGTCCAAGTGTCTCGAGGACATCGAGGACCAGGGTTGGGGCGTGTCAACCTGCCTGCCCATTCTCCTCTAACCTCTGACATCTTTGTTCAACCATGTGCCACGCTCTGGATATTTCTCTTTTTGGACCATCGACGCAGCACTGGCTGTGGAACGACCAGTACGGAGATCTGCACCTTCTGTAATAAGACCAGTAAGTCATGCTCAAAGTCTTCTGAATCCATTCTGATGCTCAGTTTGAACTTGAGCCTGTCGTCTACACGTCTAAAGACATCGAGTCGCTGCTGTCCTGGGCTCATTGGTTAGATTAACAAACAATTCCACAGGTGGACCTGATGAAGTGACCAGTCGTGCATGTTAAACATGTTTAACGTGTTAAATTATCATTTCTTCACAGGTAGAGTCATGATTCATGTGGGCTTTCTTGTATTTTTTGTTATTAGCAGGTCCTACACTAGAGTTAATGAAGTACCCACATCAATTTACTGGTGTCCATTCCAGTTTCCACAGGGGGTCCTCAAAATATTCTGCATCTCTGCTCTGACAAGAGAAGCAAAGCTAATGTTCCTGCACTGCTCGTCGTTTCTGTTCATCTCTGATTTTCAGCTGCACATCATAGATGAAGCAATAATCTCATTGTTTGGTTTGTAAAAACATGACAGCCCTGGTACTTGTATTCTGTCCGTGAATATATTTGACATTAATTATTTAAAGTCAGTATTTACTGTATTCAGAACAGGTTACGGGTCAACCAACAATCTTTTAACCCATTAACTGTCAGATTTCTTTATTTGTTCCTATTGAAACTTAGTGAAGGGAACATTTATCCCACAGAAATCCAAGTGATCGCTGCATGACAGCCCAACGAACGCCGCGGCAACAAATCCTGACGAGGATGGGAACAGATTCTGAAGGACTGAAGTCGTCTGATGAAGAAGAGGAAACACAGCAGCCGTGAGTTCAGCATCTTTTTGGGAAAAATAATGAAACCATCATTAGGATTCTGTAAAGAAACTCAGTTCTCAAACCTTAAATTCACCAAAATATTGAATTAATTTGGAATAAATGATGACTCTTAAACAGACCAGTACAATCTGCGTTTCTTGCACGAGTCAGATCCTCGATACCACCTGTCAATCAATCCAGTAGGCTCGTCAGCAACTGATCAATCGCTGACCTTGATTTCCCTGGAAGTGGACGCCCCTCACCTGCAGGAACATTCCCCTTTCCCTCCAACAACATTGTTCAGGTTTTGCTTGAACACTTTGCAGTCAGAGGGATTTTATGAAAAATCATCAGAAAAAAACGGTTAAATGCCGTCAATGATGAACATGCGTTACCCCGAGCGTTTAGAGGCTGTAATACTGTTTATTCCATTTAAAAAAATAAACTTTGGGAAAATATAAAAGATGGATGGTGACCCCATGAGCAACTGATTACAACAGTTATGAACAAAGTACCATGTGCGTCTGTATGAAGGTAACTGCAGGTAAACCCTCATCATGGTTAAATTAAAGGTTAATGTTAAGTTGTGCTTTGTTTTGTATATTGTTGCAACTTCTGGTTGCATACGTTTACTCTTTGTTATGATCGGTTAAGCTGATTTTGTACAAAGTGTTCATTAGATTGTGTAATTTAAAGCGGTGCGCTGTAGCATCTTAGCTAGCATGTCTGTATCGCTCGCCGCTAGCTCAGCGCTACTTGTTGTCGTGCAGAGCTCTCCAAAAACCGTTAGCGAGTCAAGTGTTTGCGTGGACGTATGTTTAACAGCCCGCTAAAATACACCAGGATGCAGGAAATGGCTCCTACTTTATTCAAAATTTTCTGGGGGAGAACCCCCCCCCCCACACACACACACACATTACAAATGCTTCTGACACAAATGGACTTCAAGCCACGAGTCATTGTCAACACTGGGGGCTGAGGAAACCCTGAAGGTCAGATTCTAGAACCGCCCCTGGCCAGCAGTATTTTAACGAGTCAAAACCCCCAAAATATCAAAAAGAAACTTTTTATTTTAAACTCATTTAAACTCGTTATTAAAACGTAATGTTGATGAACATTAAATGAATTTAATTCGATCATTTCCTGAACATCTTCTGTTTGTAAAAAAAAAAAGAAAAAAGTGTTAGTTTCAGAGGTGAACTTTGTGTTCAACAGGTTTTTATTTTTAGTTTCATGATGCTCCAAATGTTTTCATTTCACTCTTCTGAAGCCATGCTGTTGTAAACAATGCTGGTTTATTAATTATTATTATTATAATACATCTTTCTAAAATATGCAAGTCTGATATCTGAGGGCTGTGATTAAAATTTGTGTTTATTGATTATCAAATCATTGGTTGCTGTTTAAATTTACATTTTACAAAACATCCCAACTGTTACAGAGTCGGAGTTATGGAACTATAATTTGACATCAAATCCTGGAAGTCAACATAAATTACCTGTAAAAGCATCATCTACTGAAAAGCTGTTGCCTATTATTATTATTATTATTATTATTATTATTATTATTATTATTATTAAAGGTTGTAACCGAGCTGTCATTTGAAAAAGACTGTCTTGCTGTGACTCAGATGTTATGTGAGTCTGTGAACGCAGCGCGCGCTCAATCTGCGTCTGTCGGTGGAGTCTTTCATCACCTGTGGATCAGCGGATCACTCGCTGACTCACAAACATTAAGGCACCTTCATCACCTCGTTTCCCGCGGAAGCAGCAGCATCTTCATCAGCTGCAGCATCCGGATGGGTCGCGCGCGGGAGGAGAAGCAGCATCCACATCACAGCCAGACGCGTCACGAGCCGCTCCGTCTCCGTCCGGGAGGCGCGCGGAGGACGAGCTGATCCTGCAGAGCTCCAGGAGGAGGAGGAGGAAGAGGAGGAGGAGGAGGAGGTGGAAATCCCGCGAGAGAAACTCAGGGGGTTGGGGGAGCAGGAGGGAGAGAAACGCGTTCAGAGCGGAAAGAGGAGTGAGAAGGTAGCCGCACGTGAGGCGCGCGAGCCTCCGGGGGGAGACGGGAGTAATCTTTAATTTCAGCGGAGCCTCTTTTTGGGCTTTCCCCCCCACGGACACGGACACACCGGGCTCCCCGGAACAGGTAAGCACCAGCCTGTCTCCTCTGGGTTTTAATCCGAATTACGTTGACACCTGTAAACAGCCCGAGCCTGATTGATCAATTAGCGGCAGCTGCAGAGATGAAGCGTTCAAAGCGCGCACACAAACACGCACGGCTGCCTGTTGACCCGCCAGCAGAGGCTTTTTCCAAATCACGCATCCAGGAGGAGTGAGGAGTTTCTAAATGCAGCTTTCAGGAGGAGACTCACTTTTGGTGCCTTGGTTTGCTCTGAGGATGTCTGAACTGCTGGTTCTGTGGTGGGGGCGATCCTTCTGCACCCCCACCCCTCGTTCTTTTCCCTTTCTTAAAGCTTGAGCAGCTTCTCTACAGGCTCAGTGCGCTTTCTGTCCGGGTTTGTCTTGAATTCATCAGAATTAGATAAATAATATGCTGGAGGGGGGGGGGGGGATGCTGCTTCATGGATCCTGACTAATGCTGGAAAAAAGAGGGGGTGTAGCGGGGGTGCGCGCATTGGTCCACGTGTGTGTGCGTGTGTATGTGTGAGAGAGAGAGAGAGACGCACCAGGGCTGCAGAGTTTCTCTGGAGTCTTTGGTTTGTGCGCGCCTTGCGTGCGCATTACGCAGTTTTGCGCAGTGAGTTTGTGAGACGGATGTTTCTACCAGAACTGCAGCCCCGTTTGTTTGGAGGAGGAGGAGGAGGAGGAGGAGGTGGTAGTGGTGGTGGTGGTCTTGAAGAAAAGATTAAGAAGCTGATCTGCGCATGGAGTGCGTGTGCGCAGCTCTGAGGGCGCATGGCGCATCTTGGGGACTCTTCCCCGCAGATGAAACTCCTGGTCAGATGTTTCCTCATGTCCACCTCCAGCAGGAAAGCCTTTAAATGTTGGAGCTGCAGCTGTCAGTGCGCGCGCACAGAAATCTGAATACATCATACCAGACTGGAGCTGCAGAGACTCAACACGCGCTCAGTTTGTGGGTTATTATACCTGGAAACAACAGTACCGGTCATGTCCATCAGTCTCTGAGAGTCTCGGTTCTGATGGAGCTCAAACACTTTTAGCTGATTTGACTGAATTTATGATGGTGGAGAGTTTTGGTTGGATGGACTCTGTCAGACCAAACTGTCGGGAAGGATGGTTTTGTTTGTTTATTTGTTTGTTTGTTTTTGATGTAAAGTAAGAAAAGCTGACCAAAACAGAAAGTCCCAAAATGGTTAATAATAGAGATAATGAGACCAGAATGAAAACATTAGAATCTCTCTCTGTGGTGTGGAAGTGTAACATGATGATGTCCAAACCTTTATTTATCATGTCCACATTTCTCACCCCCATACCCCAAACATGTAAGAATGTGTAAAACCACCATTTTAAATGTAATGGCCATAATCACAAGCTTGGTATATTAAAAAATATAAACTTTGAATTTCACGTTGCATAATTCAGGTGATTTATTTTATTGATGTTGGTTGTTTAGGTAACGGTTATGTTAAAAATCTAATTCTATTAAAATCGCATTACATTTTTAACCTTTTTTGTTCTTCGTTTGTTCAGGAATTACAAACCGGATTCCAAAAAAGTTGGGACACTAAACAAATTGTGAATAAAAACTGAATGCAATGATGTGGAGATGGCAAATGTCAATATTTTATTCATAATATAACAAAGATGACAGATCAGAAGTTTAATCTGACTAAATGTAACATTTTAAAGGACAAATATGTTGATTCAAAATTTCACAGTGTCAACAAATCCCCAAAAAGTTGGGACAAGTAGCAATAAGTGGCTGGAAAAAGGAAATTGAGCATATAACGAACAGCTGGAAGACCAATTAACACTAATTAGGTCAATTGACAACATGATTGGGTATAAAAAGAGCTTCTCAGAGTGTCAGTGTCTCTCAGAAGCCAAGATGGTAAGAGGATCACCAATTCCACCATTGTTGCGCAGAAAGATAGTGCAGCAATACCAGAATGGTGTTACCCAGCGTAAAATAGCAAAGACTTTTAAGTTATCATCATCAACCGTGCATAACATCATCAAAAGATTCAGAGAATCTGGAACAATCGCTGTGCGTAAGGGTCAAGGCCGTAAAACTCTACTGGATGCTCGTGATCTCCGGGCCCTTAAACGTCACTGCACCTCAAACAGGAATGCCACTGTCAAGGAAATAACAGAATGGGCTCAGGAATACTTCCAGAAAGCATTGTCAGTGAACACAATCCACCGTGCCATCCGCCGTTGCCAGCTGAAACTCTACAGTGCAAAGAGGAAGCCATTTCTAAGCAAGCTCCACAAGCTCAGACGTTTGCACTGGGCCAGGGGTCATTTAAAATGGAGTGTGGCAAAATGGAACACTGGGACGCCATGTCATCCGGACCAGAGAGGACAAGGATAGCCCAAGTTGTTATCAACGCTCCGTTCAGAAGCCTGCATCACTGATGGTATGGGGTTGCATGAGCGCTTGTGGCATGGGCAGCTTGCATGTCTGGAAAGGCACCATTAATGCAGAGAACTATGTTCAGGTTCTAGAACAACATATGCTCCCATCTAGACGTCATCTCTTTCAGGGAAGACCCTGCATTTTTCAACACGATAATGCCAGACCACATTCTGCAGCAATCACAACATCATGGCTACGTAGGAGAAGGATCCGGGTACTGAAATGGCCAGCCTGCAGTCCAGATCTTTCACCTATAGAGAACATTTGGCGCATCATAAAGATGAAGGTGCCACAAAGAAGGCCCAAGACGATTGAACCGTTAGAGACCTGTATTAGACATGAATGGGAGAGCATTCCTATTTCTAAACTGGAGAAACTGGTCTCCTCTGTCCCCAGACGTCTGTTGAGTGTTGTAAGAAGAAGGGGGGATGCCACACAGTGGTCAAAATGGACTTGTCCCAACTTTTTTGGAATCCGGTTTGTAAGATATTTTGCTCACAAAGAAATGAAGTTGACCCCAACAGCTGATGCTAAAGTTTTGAGCCAAAATGTTGCACCATAAGCAGTGCTCTGAAGAACGTGAAAGATTCTCAACTACTACCACACTTCCGTAACTCAACTTCTCTTGGATTAAAGTTTTGTTGATTTCAGATCCATGCGTTAGCTAATTTAGCTACTGCTTTGATAGTTTGGTTTAGCAACTTTTTTTTTTTTTAACTCTGATTTAATCCTAACATTTCAGTTTAATTCAACCTTTATTTATACAGGTTAGTCTCAGTGAGTCATGAGGACTCATTTGCAAGAGGGACCTGCACTCGGCGCTGTTTTCACAGAAAATATCTTTGTAGTTTCTCTTCAGGTTGCATTTACTTATAAAATATAATTTTTCTGTTTGTATGCTGCCACACTGAAGGCCTAAGAACTTAAACATTCTTTAGTAAATGAAGGTAGTCACACGGAGAAACGTTAAACAGCTGAAGAGCAGCATCAGGTTCAGCTCTTTGTGTCTCTTAGGGGGTTTATCTCAGAAAGGATCGCAGTCTCTGAGGTGGGGGTCTAAATCTCTTCCTTAAAAAGGCTACAATTAGTCAGAAGAGCCAACTTCTCAACAGGAAAGAGATTTTATAACGGTGATGCTGCCGTACGGTTTGTTGTCTTTTTCCGTGCACCTGCTTGATTTAATAATAGGTGAATCTTTATTCCTGCAGCCCATCTGTTTTCTAACAGTGCTGCATTATATTTTGATCCCTGAGCTGACATGTTCAGCTGAAAGTCAGAAGTTGTCAATAAATTGCTGAATGTGAACATCTCTGTTA